GAAAACCTATTAATGCTTTTAATGTTAATGCTTTCGCATTACTTTGGCCCTGCGAAGATGAGTACATTTATAGTCTTATTCCACGTAAAACTATTAAAACTTTAATAGTTTTGTTTTCGCAAGATTGAGTGCCTTTATAGATTTGTTTTTGCATTATTTTGGTAAAGCGAAGATTCGTACATTAATCGTTAAGTGCGCTGCCAAACCCAAGGTATTGAAAAAAGATTAATAGTCTTGTTGTTGTCCAGCGTGCCACATCGTGAGAATGTAATTAAAATATTGAATATAGGAAAGCGACTCCGTCGGTTTACTACAGTGCCGATATTACAGGTGTTGATAAAAATCTAATTCAACGATTTGGAAATATTTTATCTGTTATGGCAAGTGGTCACGAGGTCAATATACCAAAATTTGAATTGTATACAAAAGATACAGCAAAATTGTTTATTTCTCTGTATCCTTGGTACTATATTCCTAGTAGTGTACATAAAATACTGATACATGGAGCTGATGTCATAAATGCAGCGCTTCTTCCTATAGGTAAAATATAAAACATATAATAATAGGTAAGTATATAATTATATAAAGCATAATTTTTTTTTATTAATAAAGGCCAGCTATCCGAGGAAGCAGCGGAAGCAAATAATAAAGAATACAAGAAGTTTAGAGAACACCATACTCAAAAAAATTCACGTATTAGTACAAATGAAGATCTTATCCATATGCTTTTGGTAGCTTCTGATCCATACTTGTCCTCAATAAGACCACTACCAAAAAAACAAATTAGTGAGCTATCAGATGACGTCAAATCGCTGATTTTATGTGACACAGAAACAGAGAAAGAAGAATACGAAGCAGCTACATCTGATGGAGAAACTGTCAGTTCTAGTGATTCTGATTTATACAATAATATGTAAAAAAAATATAATCTAATTATATCATTAGAATAAATAATATACTAACTACTAAGCAGTTTATTTTTTTAATTCTAAAAATCTGAATTTTAAAATGATCTAAGTATCCGAAAAGTAAAACAATTTTATAAATAAATAATTTTGTCCTGCTAAAAACCTTTTCTGGAACACTGTGTGACGGTGGTATAATCAATAATATGATTTATTTAATTGCTAACAAACACTAATAATTATTAATTAATAAAAACTTAATATACATAATTTATTAATTATAATGATTTTCAAGGTGGTATCATTCAATCTATGTTAACAGATATTGTAAATATTTGATACAACTATTAAGTGATAACGCAGCCAAAAATGTTGCCGCAATGAGACACATGTGTAGTTACTGTATAGAGCGCGGCGTGATATCATAAATATCATCAGGGTAGGCAATAGGGAAAAATATCAACAAAACAAAATAGCAGTCTGCTATTGCTAATGTAAAATAGCAGTGCTATTTACACTGCTACTGCTATTTCTTACCATCACTACTCGCTGGGAGTGGGTACCGATTTTGGAGACAATGAATTATAAAAGTCGCAAAGGTTGTAAGACGAAAGTTTAGGATTTGTGATAAGGATTATTGATATGGATTGGAGATAAGTCTAGACGCTTTGGCGGGAATGTTAAAAGTTTGAGCGTCTAGCAATCCGTCACAAACGTTGTAAATGGATAGGCTGGATACGATCTCCAGGATCACCTATATAGAGTATACCTGCACATAGAGTGGTATGTGCCGTAGCATGACCGGTGCTTTATCTTATGTAAAAAGTGTAAAGTCGAAAACCGTGTTGGTGTTTCTAGCAAATCAGCCATCTCAAGTCAAAATCTAATAACATTCAAGTTAGCCACTTAGGTAGGCAATCCGACTTCGTCGGATCGCGGACAATGTGTCCTACAGCAAATCAGGTAGGCAATCCACCGCAGACCCGACATCAAGCGGCTATAAGTGAAAACCCTATCACACAACTTACGAAATAATTTACGAAAAATTCAAACTATATACAATATACATACAAACAAATATGATATGTATTTATTGTGTGATATAATATAACAATGAACATTTTGAGAAATGTGCAATTATAATTCCTAAAAAAATTAACATATAGGTAGATAGTTAGATACATGCTATTATATTAACCAATACAATACATATAAACATGTAACTATAGTGTATATATATTAACTTTAAAAAAAAATTCAAAAACCTGCATGTTAAAGTGTCTATCAAGTCAATCATCACCGTTTAAGAGGAAACCAAAATAAGCAATATGTCTATCACCTATATATAATAGTAGGTATATCACATAGAGTGGTATGTGCCGTAGCATGACATTGTCCGGTTCAAGATTAACTTTCAAGTTAGCCACCTAGGTAGGCAATCCGAAATAAAATACAAACTATATTTATATAACAATCATGGAAATTTTAAAAAATATGCAATCATAATAATTCCTAATAAAACAAATATAATATGTACCTATTTATTGTGTGATATAATATGACAATTACTTTAAATAATAACAATGTTCCTGTATTATTTGTTCGCGCCAATATGGCAATTCAAATTAATTGTAATTGTTTTATATTATGTTCCTGTGCTCCGTGGTGGTTCTTATCACGCGTCACTGCCGCGCGGTCGACAGTGGCGTCAGCTGTTGTGTGCTGACCGCCCAGTGCGTGTGTAAGACCTATAGACCTGCAAGGGCTGTAAATTTTCGGCCCTGTCCGGTCCATCAATTTTATCCTAAGGCCCGGCCCGACCCGGTCCAAAGAAAATTGTGAAAAAAAAGCCCTGGCACGGCCCGGAATAAAATTCCAAGACTTAAAAAGCCCGGTCCAACCCTTTATTGTATTTCAAAGGCCCGGCCCGGCCCGGTCAAAAAAATATTGTGAAAAAAAGCCCTGGCCCGGTCCAAAATAATGCTAAGCTCGAAAAAGCCCGGTCCGGTCCATCAACTTTATCCTCAGGCCAAGCCCGGCCCGGTCCATCAACTTTATCCTCAGGCCCGACCCGGCCCGGTCCATCAACTTTATAATCAAGCCCGGCCCGGCCTGGTCCACAAAATATTATAAAAAAAAAAACCCGGCCCGGCCCGACATTTTTTTTAAGGCTGGTTTTTTTTTGTAGGACTGGTTTGAAAATGTGGTTTTTTACAATAATCTTTACATGACAATGTCGATAACTGGGGTTAATCGGTTAATGTACCTACTACCTAATATCTATTACATTTACCTGTAGCTTGATAAAAACTAGCTAGGTACATATAACAGAAAATACTTTTAATTTACCTCCTAAAAATCAACCACAAAATTAAGTCAAACAAGGTAGATCTCAACATGATTAAAAACATTAAAAAATTAAAACATCACATTAAATAAAAGTCAACTTACTATTATCCTCACTCCTCAACCACAATTTTTACAATTTTAACCTACACTTCCTCTAAATAAAATCATAGAATCAACTTATCCAAATGATATATTTAATCTATAATATCTATAAATCTATAAAATCACATACATTTTCAATCAATACTGTACTCAGTACCTGCCCACAACCCACCACAATGGAATATCATTATATCAACAAACCTATTCATTGTTATATTATATAAAAAATGATTTATTTATTGAATTATAAGCTCCAATATATTTAATTTGTCTTACCATAATAATGTTCATATTTTTATATACAAATAACATACTTTGGATATAAAATAATGATATAAATAATACATTTTTAAGTTTGAAAATTCAAAGTGTGGATGTAAAAATGAACGTGAGTAGCACTGCACAGTTTAAGGTTAAATATATTTTAAAGTTAGTTATTTTTTAAAAGTAGTGTCAGTGTTATTTTTTATATTTGATATGTAAACATGTTAATTATAAAAAAGGCATGATTTTACATAACATTTTAAATTTAACATAGGCACTAAGCTAGGTATTAAGCACTAGGTACCAAAAGGTTATCAGTTCTAAGTACCTACTAAGTAGTAAGTAGGTACTAAGTAATAGGTATAACCTGTCCGTTCATCTTGGCCGATGGCAAACGTTATGATTCCTATCTTATAATGTTAAGTAATACCAACTGTGTATGTAGTTTGTGATGTCAGCCATCGGTCAAGATAAACAACCCGTCCAGTTCATACTACTGGTATTAGTATTAGATACATCTTACAAAAGTTTTGAATGAAAAATTATTTTAGTAAATATTTAATTTCAATATACTTACTTCAGTTTAAAAAATAATAAACTAAGAAAATATTGAATTATCTATAGTATAGATATTAGATATATTTAATTAATCATATAATATAATATCAATATTAAAAATATTATATAAACTTAGATGTGAATAAAATGAAATAAAGGTATAAGTATAAACTATGTATTTTTATTAGAAGATTTATAAAAGTCATGTAAAAACATAAGGGAATCTACACTACTGCCTTTGAGGTTTGTTCGACGTTTTTCAATTATACGACCAGCTGTACTAAAACTCCGCTCACTTGATGCACTTGAAGCAGGTATCGAAAAACACTTTCTTGCCAGTTGTGCCATAAGAGGAAAACGTGAGCCATTGGTTTTCCACCAATTTAATACATCTTCATTCTTATCAAAGACTTCATTTTGGTAGGCAAATATTTCCTGTGTGGAACTTCTTAAGCTAATATCTACTTCATTATCTTCCCATTCTTCAAACTCTTTTTGATTAATTACTGGTAGTTGATGATCCTTATTAACAGTTGTAACTTGTTGTTCTGTGCGAATTAATTCGTACTTCCTTAAAGCGTGTGATACTTTATTAATGATACAGATCTTAGATTCATCAGATACCATTTTCAAACTTTTAAATTTTGGCCACAAGAAACAACTTATTTCATGTATGGGATCAATTTTGAATTTTTCTTCCAATTTACTTAATGCCCATTTGGACAATGTACTAAATATATTCTCATAGTTTAATTCTAAAACAAACAATAAATTAAAAACAATTATTAGCTAACATCAATAATATAAATAAAATTGTTATTACCTGTTTCGTTGTCGTTAGTTCTACAATTTAATGCAGGCTCTTTAGTGTAACTCAATAAATGTTTTTCTATTTTAGCCTTGTGTAAAATTACTTTATGAATGGTTGGGTACTGATCGCCCTCCAATTCATCAGATGCCATTTTGAATGGTTTTAAAAATTTTATCATTTTTTGTAGAAGTGTTCTGTCTATGTTATTAAATCTGTGTGGTTCATTTTCATATAATTTGATAATTTCTTCATATTGCTCTTCTATTGAAACCAACATAATTAGTCTGGTGTTCCATCTGATATCAATTTCTTGAACTAGAGTTTTTGAAAGCTTATTGATATCTCCAGTCCGCTTCATATATCCAATCAGAGTTTTAGATGTATGAATCAAATTAATGATTGGTCTAGTGACACAATTTTCGTCTTCTCCCATAAGAAATTTTGTGTCAAATGTATGCTTTAGAGTGTTACTTAACATATGAGCAGCACAGTTGATACGTGTAACTCCTTCAAGTGCACTTTTTATGTTCGATCCTTGGTCTGTAACCCATGTGAGTTTTGAAAGAATATTATTTTGAGGACAATCAATTTTCCATGAAACAAAAAATGTTTTTAAACATTTTCGAATATTTTCACCAGTTTTTCTTTCGTCAATTGGAAATTGACCAGTGTACACGTTATGCATTTTTAATTCCCAATCTTCAATGAAATGGAGTGTTAAGGATATATAACTCCTTTTCTTATAGTTGTCTGTCCACATATCTGTTGTGGCAGCAACTAATTCCTCTTCAATAAACGTACGAATATGCTCAATTACCACTTCACGTTTATTATCAGCTATTTTTAGCATGTTTCTTTGAACGGTTGTAGGATGTGGTAACAAATTTTCTGCAGATACCTCCCCATACTTAGAACCAACTGAAATCAAATAATTTGCCAAATTCTTAAACCCAGATCCAGCTACAATATCCATGGGTCTTATATCTTGACTACAAAACTGAACACACTTTTCTTGACAGTCTTACATCACCCTTTGCGGTAAATTTGTCTTTTGTTTTTTATTAAAATACTGGTTAATTGAAGATGAAGGTTCAGAAGTTAACACTGCACATTTGTGTCGACTTAAATGGGAACTGCCTTGTAACAGCTTATACGACATCAGTTTATGGCATTTTATACAGGATACATAATTAGTATTTTGTTCGGTTTCTGTAAACACAACAACTTCAAAGCAATTCCAAAAAGTACCTTTTGCATTACTTTTTGGAATAAGTTTACATACACCCAAGAGTAACTTCTTTTGAATTGTTTCCTTTGTCTCACGATTAATTTCATCAATGGATGAATCCATTTCATTCATTTTAGGATCAACTACAAAATATAATATAATATGTTAATATTTTATAGTATTTAAAATTAAATAAAATTTACAGATACCATAAATAAACCCTGGGCTTACAATAAATAACTATTATATACCTATAAACTATATAAAAAAATAAAAATGTGACAACGGACAAATAATTCAGTTGCATATTGAAGAGTATTTGCATAAAAATATTTAATTTTCAAATACAAATGTGACCAAGACAGTATTTACAATCCTTTACAAATACTTATTTTAAAAAAATGGGGACTCCATCCACCTACCACTAAAGATGTATAAAAAGTGTCTCCTTTAACAAAATATTTGTAATGGTACATATGCTTGTATGCTCCAATTATAACCAATCATTCATTATTCCTCTGATATTTGATCTTGTTTTTTTACTATTAATTATTACTTTAATTTCATCAAATGTATTTAATAGAAATTATGGACTATCTAATGGAAGTGTAAAAAAAATTGATTTTATTAGTTATTGTAAACAGGGTTGGGCAGTATCTTCGATACAAGTATCTAAGATACGTATCTTAGATACATTTGTATCTTGTATCTTGTATCTCGATACAATTATGTTAAGTATCGAGTATCTTGTATCGCGATACATTTTTAGTCAATGTATCGAGTATTTCATGAATTAATTTAATCGAAAGATACTCGATACATTAATGCGATACTTTGAAAAATTAATTGTTTACGATTATTTTTACTCGTCAGAAACCACTTTTGAAAAGTTAGTGGTGTAATGGTTGTATATAAAATATAGGTAATATTATGTTACACACGTACTTTGAATTGGACTCTACGTCTGTAAGACTGTACCTTATTTTTCTACTATGTAATAGTAGTTACTTTACTGGAAGTAGTTACTTTTTTAATGATAAGGCTAAATCGTTAAATATTCTAAACAATTATCCAATTATAAAAAAACTTTTTATTAGATTTAATACCAGCTTATGCTCCCCAGCACCCGTAGAACGATTGTTTTCCATGGCAGGATTTATTAATAATCCTACCAGAAATAAATTATCCTATATAACCTTTGAAAAACTTGTATTTTTAAAAGGAAACAAAGATAAATTAACTATATAAATGAATGATGTTATGTTACTATTACTATTGAAATTAAATTTTTATTATACTAAAATTAGTTTTATTATTTATATAATTCAATACGACAATACCAAGTAAATATAATTTTTAATGTAGAATTATTATTATTTAATTGTTATGTAATCGTATTGTGGTTATTTTTGGTAGAATCGTAGACGATAACAAGATTACGTAATGTCGTAATTGATTTATTTTATTTTGCTTTATTACTAATGTATTATTATTACTGAAAGTGTCAATGTTTTTTATTTTATTTTTCATTCTAATTACTTAATGAAGTGGTCATACCCACAATAATAAACATAATTTTTAAAAATCCAGTGACTAATTTTATTAAAATGTATTGAGTATCGAGTATCGAGTATCTTGTATCGCGATAGTCCAAAGCCAAGTATCGAGTATCTAGTATCGCGATACTCTAGAGCCAAGTATCGAGTATCTAGTATCTCGATACTCCAAATCCAGGTATCTAGTATCTACTATCTCGATACTGATTTTTGAGTATCTTGCCCATCCCTGATTGTAAATTGCTATACTGTGATTAATTACCTTACTTGATTAGCCAATAGTATAATATTATATTATTTTACATGGTTCTTTTATTTTATGTATTTATAATTGTTTTATTTTAAAATAGCTCTTTATTAAATAATGCAAAATTGAGATTCATATATAATATATATATATATAGGTAAAGTGTGAATAAGTGATTTTTAACCATGCTCACCTCACTATGCTTAGAATTTGAATATTTTTCTTGTACAATAGATTTTATTGTAAACACTACATTTTTATGAAGTAAATATTTTTTGTTTGAGTGGTTTCTTTAGTTTTTTTAAAATAATTAAAATGTAGTATTATTTGTGATATAAATTTACATAAAATAAATTAAAAATTTAAAAATTTCTTAAAAGTTCAAAATGGGATGAGTATGTTATACTATCACTGCTTATACATTACATATTAATATATAATTATTTATTATACTATAAGCATTATTGCATTAGACATTATACCCAATATGATAATATATGGAACACTTAAAAGTAGTTAAAACTATACTATACAAACATTAGTCCCATAGTTAAGAACTAAAAAGGCCAAAGGGACAATGATTTTTTGAGTTACAGGCATTAAAGTTAATCAGAGGTTAATCGGCCAAATTGTCCCGTTTAAATATCTGTTATCAGCTGATTAAGCTCAATCATAGTTTAATCATAGACGGTACAACTGGCCCTTGGTGACTTAACTAGTAATTTAATTAATTAGTTCTAACTACAGTTAGAAATACTTATGTATAAAAAATAAACATGATTTAAGCTTACAGAATTATTTTTAAAATTAACTGGAAAAAGCTAAGTTATTTATTATACTATGGGTTATTTAACTAAGTAGTAGGTACTAGGTAGCTAAGTTATTAGTTGATTAAAAAATAAATAACTAGTTAAGTTGAAGTTAAAATAAATTAACTTCTTAACTAGTTAATGCCTACCTTTGTCAAATACTAGGTGTAGTTGTAGTACATACTCAATATGTCAATACCTACTACCTAGTACCAATTACTGGCTATAAATGCCGAGTACTACCTACTATGTAGGTATACCTAGTACCTACTACCTACACACACCATAGTACATAGTAGGTACCTATAAAATATTGTTTAACCTATCAGTACATACAAATAAATATAAAATTCTAAAGTACATACTACATGGGTATTAGGTAACTTTAAAAAAACTTACTTTTAAATATGAATTCAACAATTAACACACTATTGAGACGATCCGACAAGAAACGAACAAACTAAAAAAAATGCGGTAATGCGTAATAGTAGGTACCGTAGACTGGTCACTGGTGTTGTGGCAACTGTATTCATTAGTCAGACGCAATGAATTGTCTATAAATATTTCAAATTACCGTTTATATCTTATCTTGGTAATAACGCCGCAAATAGCTAAATATTTTCGTGGTGTGTTGTTGTTTTATTTTGTATTGACATATTATTATGGTATAAAAATAGCTTTATTATAACCACCAATCAATTTATTATTATATTCATTGTGATTGTATTGATTGTATCTACTAGGTATCTAGTATCTACTATCTACTATCTAGTATCTATCTTTTCTGTACCAACGTGGGTTTTATCATTATTATTTATTATTTTAAATTGTGATTATTTATTGTCGAAGAAAAATCCTTAAAAAGCCCGGTCCAACCCTTCATTTATTATTCGAAGTCCAGCCCGGCCCGGCCCGAAAAATTGTACAAAAAAAAAACCCAGGCCCGGCCCGGAATAAAAGTCCAAGGTTTAAAAAAACCCGGTCCAACCCTTGGATTTATTATTTGAAGTTCAGCCCGGCCCGGCCCGAAAAATTGTACCAAAAAAAACCCAGGCCCGGCCCGGTATAAAATTCCAAGACTTAAAAAGCCCGGTCCAACCCTTTATTTTATTTCAAAGGCCCGGCCCGGTCCAATGTCACTACGGGCAGGGTTTTTTAAGGACCGGATCGGGCCGGCCCGGCCCTTGCAGGTCTTTAGTAAGACCACCACGTTATCAATGTTTTGTTGTTTTCAAGTGATTGCAAAAATCCGTTCTATTAAAACTCATTTTCAAAGTTGTGTGTCACCTAAAGTTCTGGTTTTTTTATACTTTTGTTTTGTTGTACAGGTGACACTGTTATTCCGTGTTGTAATGTGTTACCGTTAAAATCGGCCATCTTTTAAATTATCGTCTCTTCGTTTGCGGCTGTTGCCCAGGACGGTTGTTTCCAATCGTCTTCTTGTGTTTTTTATTTTTCATGTTTTCGGCTACGTTCGGCTGCTGCTAAAACCACATTGTTAGTGTATTGTGTTGTGATTTGACTCTGGTGAGTATCGTTCGCGCAACCTTTGTTGCCCTTCATTTAATTGTTTTCCTGTTTCTAGGGTGTCATTCCTCATCAGCGTCACTGTGAATAGTGTGGTTTTGTGTTTTGTTCTGCACGCTGCGGCAATCATTGTATTCTGTGAGTTCTTCGTTGTGGTACAGCTAGGTGGTCCCACGTGTGCTGGTTGTAATTATATTGTTCTTACCTACGCCTCCGGCATGGCTCGCGTGGGATGAAATCCACCACTTAGCTTACCATAGAGTTGTGTTTTGTGTATTAAGGCCGACGGGCCTATATACTTTTTGAAGGTAAAATAACCGATGTAAGTTTCTTTATACTAATGTAAAATAAATGACAATGCCAACACAATTTTATTTTGATTAATAATACTTAAATAATTAATGAGCAGTACTGATAGCGCCACATTGTGTTGCCTATCCTCTAAGCCGTGAAGGCAAATTTTAACAAGATTTTAAAAAGCCAAACGCGAGCTATCATTATTATATTATTATTTAATTTATATGAAAAATATAGTGAAAAAAAAATGCAAAAAAGTCGAATTCCGGGCGGCCGTGGAAACCATATGGCGATGACGGCAACGACGCCCGGAGAGCGTACGATGGATTCGAACCCGGGACCTACGTGTTTCCTACCTAACGCCTAACCTAATTGGACACAGTTAGAGACGAATTACTGTCAAAACATCAACACTTAAGCCGTGCGTCTACGGAGCGACGTAAACCGATATATTCGATGTACATCGATGTAATCGCATATAATTCGCTTGTAATACGCGCATCTCCCATATAAATATTTAACGGGGAGTGTGAAAAGCGTTTTCCGTTAATAATTATTACATCATAGGGAAAAATTAAATTATACACGTATATAATATATATGTATATATACCTACGCTTACGATCGGTCGGTCGCCGGCGTTATTTCTAAACGCGATTGCGAGGCGAACGAACCAATTTCGGGCGAAAAGCCAATATAAACGGCTTTAAAAAGACGTCAACTACACGATTCGGGCACAAACGGCGTGTGAATAGACGAAACGGTGGGAGATAAGGCAAAAATCGGCAAAATAGTCCGGTCGGGAGTGTATTTTTCGATCGGCATTGCGACCGCTTCGAACGGCGCACGAATATAAACCGCACACCGGCGTGGCGGTTTCGAATTAAGTATAAAAAAGGACGAAAAGGGTCGAAATCGTGTAAAAACAGCTAATTTTCCGAAAATTTCAAAAATCGGCTAAATGATAGGAAAAGAGGTGATATCGAAAAACGTTTTAAAACCGACTGCCACCGCTGCGAAGGTACGCGATTGGTAGCGCTATAATGAATCGACGGGACATGGCCGGTGGGCTGGGGAAACGGAGCGGTGTTTCATTTTTTACGCCACGGTTTCACTATAGCCTGCGTTTTCCTTTCCATTGGTACACTATATACAGCTGATTTCCTTGTCATTTTATAGGATAGGATAGTCCCGCCGCCGGTACAACGCTACTCGCTTGCGCATCCAAATGATCGAGCTCCGCGGTTTCGTACTTTCGTACCCAAATTTCTCCTACTCTATCGACCCATTAGAAAAATGTCAACACACGGCATATGGTTTGAATCGAAAAGTCACGTGATTTACGGGGTCCCCCGCATGCAGCGCTCATATTGGTTCAAATCAAAACTAATAAAAATTGTTATGTTATGTTATTAACCTATATACAATAAAAAAATATATAATGATCATATTATATAATCAATTATAAAATAGTCCACTAGAAGCGCTAGCAACGCGGGTCCGATTTAAATCCAATGCCGTCTTATCATACCTTGTTGAGCAACCATACTATCTTAAATCGTATTTTATACGCTCCTGTATAGTGGTGTATTGTCGTATTCGTTCTAATAACGTATTGTACTCTTGTCTTGGTAATACTGTAAATAGTGATAATCTAGATTACCCGATTATGAAAACAAATGCGATGCGCGGGGTCAGTGGGTCACCTTGTTTACTCCACAACGATTTCAATAATCGAGTAGTAGTTAGTTTTGTCGTACAGCCACCGGGAGCGCTGTTAAACGGTTCGTTTTCATAACATGGGAGTTGCCTATCTATTATATTATACTTATCTATGGAGTAGACACTGGGAATAGTGGAAAATATGGTGAAACGTTTACATGAAGAGGCCACTGAAGTGATTGGTAATTATTAGATTATATTTATACTATATGTCTATATAAATTGTTTTAATAATATTAGTCTTCATCATTTTATTTATAGACAAGGTAAAGAAAAGGAAAAAACCGAAGATTGAAGATGACGAAAAGTAATGGTGGCATGAGATTATTTATACTGGGGAGTCATAATATGAGACATTACCAATTAAGGAACAAAATCTAGTTTAGTGGCTCCTCGAAATTTCGATTTTTTTTTTTTTGAAACAAATAATTCGTCGAGTTTAGAACGATGGTGCAAAAATCAATTTGCGGAAATGATTAGTTTTGAAGTTATAAATTTGCGAAGTTCACGATTTTACGTTGACATGCATGTGCGCGTAAAAAAATGCATTTTGTTGCACCGAGTCTATGTAAAATATACGGTATATTTTTATTTTTCCATTACTTTTTCGTTCTATTCAGTTTATAATCATAAAGGTGAAGTTAAAGTCCGTGTCGTTAAGTGGTTTACGTAAAAGTAAAAAGTAGGTTACAGGGTAAGTTATGTCCTTGTATATGGGCATTCATGACTACGCTCCGCAAATCGAATATATCCCCCGACTTGCTATGCAACACCACCTTAAGTAGGTTACAGGGTAAGTTATGTCGTAGAATATGGGCAGTGATTACGCAGTTAACATAAAATAATTTAAAAATTTGTTATTAGGAGCGTTAAAATAGAGCGTTGCGCGCATGGGTAAAACACCGAAAATAGCAATTCGGAAGTCCATAACTTCAAAACTAATTATTTCCGCAATTTTTTTTTTGCACCATCGTTCTAAACTCGTCGAATTACATATGGTTTCAAAAAAAAAAATCGAAATTTCGAGGAGGCGCTAAACAAGATTTATACCCAAATTAATAGTTAACAAATTTAATTATTCCATTTAAAAGTTACTATTGAAAAATTAAAAAAATATAAGTTTCAAAATCTTGACATGGTTTTTTCATAAGTAGTTAGGCAATGAATGAATACTATACTTTTTAATTTTCTAAGAGATAATATATTATTTTAATATTATAAATCATAAAAATATATTTTTAAAATTAAATTAAGTAGGTAGGTATAATTTAATATCGTTAAATACTTAATTATTTATATGCACTTTAGGTACATATTTTTACACTATACTTATTAGTTATTTCAACAATATTTAATTTTAACTTTATGGAATATTACCCAAAATAACTGAATAAAGCTAAATTATCTTTACTATTAATTAGTTAATTAAGTTCTAAGAAATTAATAAACTATTTAGTATATACTGCCCATAACTCATGTCATAACTTAAATTTGAAAAATTTACTAATATTTGATTGTAGTACCGTAAAACCGGGCGATTAGAAACAGTGGGGTAAATAGAAACAAAATCAGTGTTTTTGCTTTGCTTTGTTTTTTTTTTTAAATTATATAAAATAATCTATTAATAATACAAATGTTTTGACTGAACATAAATTAAAGTACACGAAAACACCAGTATTTTGATGTATTTATCATCTATACAGCACAAATAGAAAAGTTTGTATGATAGGTAGGTACTTCAGTGTTTATATTCACCCGGTTTTACGGTACCACAGATTATATGCGTATTATATTTTATAGACATTATAGTCTTTACAGTCATTACATTATAGACATTACACTATTTTTTGTTTTTTATAATATAAATTATAATAATATAATTATAGTATAATTATTTATAATATACTTGTTTAACTACTGGGAATGAGTCCAATATATTTAGTTCTTTAACTTTTGAATTCAAAAAAGATAATGCTTCAACACTAGACAAGTTAGAATTTGTAATTGCAGAATCTGCGTTGGTGGATAGTTCACCATTTGAAGAACTATTTTGTGATGAAAAAACATTCCCATAAAATTCAGTATCACTATCATCACTGTTATCAGAAATAGGATTTTCATATACATCAGAATTTGTTAATTTGCATTCATTTATGAAAAGTTCTTTACACAAATCTATGTACCTTAGTGGAATCCAACTAAATTTAAATAATGGATGGCTCATAGATGATATGATAAAACTTTTACTTTTTGGAGAACTCAAGTCGAACAAATAACTGAACTTTTTTTCAAGACTAGCAATAACGCAATATTTTAAAGGGCTACAATATGTTAACAATGATAACTCAATTAATAAACGTCTCAAAATAATAATGGTTGGTGCAACAAAGCCTAAATAATTACGTTTTTCTCCCTGTAATTTATCAAGAGCAATTGTTAACGGTTGCATTATTTTACAATACTCTTCCAAAAATACCCATTCTGTATTCTTTAATTTAGCTAATTTTAATTCTAAAAATACAAAAGTAAGCTTCTCTCTAAATAATAATACTTTTTGAATCGCATCAAACGTGGAGTTCCATCTTGTCATTATTAGCACAGGAAATTTAACTTTGCAAATATCAAGAACTTTGTCTGATGCCCCAGTACTTCTACTTAATAGATTCCAAAATGAACTTTATTTACTAAAAACTTGTTTGGAAATATTTATATAGTTTTTATCGGTTATTTTTGCTACATCAGTAGTGGCTATTAAATTCAAAGTATGGGCACAACAGGTCGGGCGATCAGGCAAACTAAAATTAGTACAATCAGAACTATTTGATTCATAAAGTAACTGACCAACATCAACATATTCAATATCAATAGGACTGGACAGATTATTTTCATTATCACCATCAATTTGTGTATCTTCATCAGTATCTAACTCGTCTAAATTACCTACATGATGAGGATCGGATTCAATTGTTGAGCTTTTTGAAAATGTACGGAATGCTTTGCCAAAGCCACTAGCATTATCGGTTATAATATAGGTGATTTTAGAACTCTTAATTTGATAAGCATCACAAATGTCAGTTATTACATCATGAATATTCAAATAGTTATTGCTACCTTTTATTCGCTTACAACTTAAGACATATGAAGACCGTTTATATGAAAATTCATCGATAAAATGACATGTCATTCGATTATAATACATTAATGTATTACCAGTTAGGTTAGGTTCAGAAAAAGAAGACAATATTGAAAATATAATTTTGAGTTTGAAAGTAACTGATTTTATTCAAGTAAAATATCTTTATGACAAAAATACTAAAAAATCTACCTTTAAACATTTTGTGTGCCAAATAAAAGCAGTAACAAAAAGTATTAAAGGATTAATTTTTATAAGCAGTTTTATGAGAGGATATAAAGGATCTAAAAGTACATTTGTTTATCCAGACGTTGAAGATATAATGGAAGTTACAGCTGAAAATATTGTCAAGAAGTTACAAATTATTCATGAAAAGAGAGGAAAGTACATGTTCAACACATTGTTACCATAAAATTAAGAATGATTATTGTTATTCTCATTGTTAAAATATGTTAATTAATATTATAATTCAAAATAAGTACCTATTCTGATTTGATAATAAACTTAATAAATTAATTTTTAAAATAAATTTTTTGAAAATTGTTTGTGTCTTTCTTTAAATACCTAAATTCGAAAGTTATTTTTATTTGTCACATCACTCGAGAAACAATAATTTTTCTCGTTTATACAATACCATTGAGACATGTCAAATGCTTAACAAATTACACTTATTTTATTATATATATTAAATATACTTACTAATAAATTTTTGATCTTCACATTAAGTTGTTTCTGAAAAAAATATTCAAAATAGTGTGATAACGCTATCACTTGATATTATGGCCTTATGGCGCGAAAAATAAAAACATATGATTTTGGTTCAAGTTGTACCACTGCCCCAAGTATGATCATTTGACGGTACTAAATAGGAATAATTTATAGTCTCTTCAGAAAAACGTCATTTATTTTTAGCACTGGATGTTATTTTACGTACAAGTAGGCCTAAGATAATGAGAATAAAAATGAAACATTTTGGAGCAGATCTATTAAATTTTCACCAAAAAATGTATCTTTTAAATTTATCTAGATATGTCTGAGTTGGAGTTTTTTAAATTAGCATTTAAGGGTGCAATGGACAAGATGGACGAATTAAGACAGGTATGTGTACTTAATACAATAATATTAGTTATATTTAGTAATACTTAAATAATATAAAAATTAATAACATTACAGTTTTAATAAATACCTTGTAATACCTTACATCATTACATTACAGCAATATCACAATATTTACAGCAAGAATTGAAAACAAAAAAGAATGTAAGTCTTTACTATGCTGAAGAACTGATAAAAATTAAAGGGGAGAAAAAAACATTAACTGATGAAATTGTAAGTAACTAATTAAATAATAAATAACTTAATATCAACAAACTATTATTTTAATACAATATAATATTTACAAAAAGAAACTAAACATTCCTAATATTCTGAAAAGAGTATAATATTATTAATTAGATGTCATTAAAAATTAACGAGAACTCATTAACAGAAAAATGTGTATGTTTTTAACAGTTATTTAAGGGGATTCGATCCAGCGTATTTATTTCATGATTTAGACCTAAAAGCCTGACAAAAATACGCCTACTTAGAATTATCAGATTTCAATTCTGTAAAAAGATTCGAGTTCATTGAAAACACACAGGCCGCACCATCAGGCCATAATCATGTACTCATATTTTTCGAATCGTTAAGTCTGTGCGAGTGTTCGACATACGTGTAACGTGTTTTATTGTTTGCCCTCATTAACTTCCTATATATAATTTAATTTAATTTTAATTACCTACTCAAGTTGTTATTGTTTTTAAATTTTATTATGGAAAATACTAAAAAGATTTTTTGTGATAATGATAAACACCAAGAAGTAAGTTTTGATATTTATTAAATGAAGAAAAACCATCTTTATAATCATCATAATGTTAATTTTGATTTTGATTCTTTTTATATTTTTACATTTATTTAGTTGAATTCTGAGGTCGTTGATGACCCTGATATTGAAATTATAGAAAAAAATTTTATAGTGAATCAAACTGATGCTAATCTTGTCGAAATATTTCCATTTCCACACAACAAAAATGAACTCCAACATTCTGATTTAGGAAATCTTGCAACTGGACCTTACGGCCCTATTTTAAATGTAAGTTAACTTAACACTAGTTAAAAACCTAGTATAGGTACTAATAATAATTTTACCTCATTTAATAAAAATATTATATAATTTTCAGTTATTGATATTATATTTATTAGGTATTTATAGTTGCTGGTAAGGTATTTTTAATACCTACTTATTTTAGGTGATTCGAAGCAGCGTATTTATTTCATGATTTAGACCTAAAAGCCTGACAAAAATACGCCTACTTAGAATTATCAGATTTCAATTCTGTAAAAAGATTCGAGTTCATTGACAATTTTCCTAGGTTATTGTGGGAATCAATTTTCGATATTTTTTTTAGAATTCACGTTAAATCATATTTCGATTTCTCAATTTTTTGAAAATTGTTTGTGTCTTTCTTTAAATAGTTAAACAGTTATTCAAAAATCGACTCCCACAATAACCTAGAAAAAAGAACGATGAATTCAAATATCTTTACAGAACTAAAATCTGATCATTCTAAGTTATCGTATTTTTGTCAGGCTTTTAGGTCTCAATTGATTGAAATTAGTTTCTCGTTGGAACAAATATTTTATTATGTGACATGTGCATGCGCGTGCGAACCACTGATTCCGAACGTATCTACCCACACTAATGATCATTTACTTCGCACACAAACACACTGCGAAACGACTATAATACATCGAATTGCCTATACACGACCCCTTATTAAATCACCGGATCGAATCCCCTTAAATACTAATACAGTAATACATTACCTATTGAGTAATATAAAATATATTACACAGATTTAATAATTTTTTTTTACAGACTATATTAAAAACGAAAAATGGTATTGTGGAGGAGAAAGATGTATGTTTTAATAGCATACTAGAATATGCTTCTAGCTTCACATAAATATTCAGATCTATATTATATTATAGACTTAATAATTTTTTTTTTACGAACTAAATTGAAAACAAAAAAATTTATTTTGGAGAAGGCTAGCTTCACATAGTTATACAGATTATATATATTTAATAATTTTTTTACAGACTATATTAAAAATGAAAAATATTAATTTGGATGAGAAAGATGTAAGTTTTAATAGTTTACTAAAATAGACGGAACAATTCTAGTTTTCGATCACTTTTTAATATTAACAGAAAATCGTGACTATGCCGATGCAGAAAACGTTCGACGATTTCCAACAGGACAGTGAGGTTGCTGCGCTTATAGTAGTGTTGCGCGCAGTGTATAACCGTAAAATCGCAAACTTTGGAAGGCTGTAACTTCCAAAATAATCATTTCCGCAAATTATTTTTTACATCGTTTTAAACTCGTCGAAATACATAGGTTTCCGACAAAAAAATCGAAAAATTCGAGTGGGGGCTAAACTATAATTATGACAAATAGACATACAGCTTCACATACAGTCAAATTCGCTTATAACGATGCCGTATATAACGATATTCCGGGTAAAACGATTCAAAGCAATGTATTTGGTTTGTTTTATATGTTATGTGTAGTACTTTTATTCGTATATAACGATATCGGTTATAACGATAATCCGGATATAGCGATGTTATTTTAAAACGAAAATTGGTTTTTATAATCACCTATAGCGATTATTAATACAGTATTGTAGTAGTAAATTTGATTTCATCCAAATCGATAATTCTTAATCTTCTCTGTAACAGATAATGTGTCTTGTACGACCGTACTGTATACAGCATACGTTTCTTACTTGTTTAGTCGCCGTTTTGATTGCTATCCGTTTAGACACGTTCCGAATTCCGTAGTTAAAAATGTCAAATAAACGAAGACGCTGTTTCACTATTGCTGAAAAAGTGAAAATAATTGAACGTTTAGAATGTGGTGGTTCTAATAAAGATATTTGCTAAGAGCTAGGAATTAGTCAATCAACACTATCTACCATATGGAAATCAAAAGACCAAATAAAAAGCGTTTTTCAAAAAGACGTGACATCTATCAAAAGGTTAAAATGTAGCCAACATCAAGACGTCGAACTGGCTCTCTTGGAATGGTTCAAAATACAACGATCTAAAAATATTCCAATAAGTGGTCCGATACTTCAAGAAAAAGCGACCGAATTCGGGAAGCGTTTTAATAAAATCGATTTTCAATGTTCTTCTTCTTGGATTACCCGTTTTCGTCAAAGACACAATATCGTTTTTGGAAAAATAAGTGGAGAATCGTCAAGCGTTCCTGTTGGTGTTTCGGAAAATTGGCTGGAACACGTTTGGCCTAATTTGCGTAAAAATTATGCAGATTGTGACATTTATAACGCTGATGAAACTGGATTGTTTTATCGTCTAACACCGTCTCAAACATTACGTTTTAAAGGGGAAACATGCAGTGGTGGTAAATTATCTAAAGAGGGACTCACAATTCTTGTAACCTCTAATATGACTGGTTCTTACAAACAAAAATTGTTAGTAATTGGAAAATCTAAGACTCCGAGATGTTTTAAAAATGTCAAAAACTTGTAACGGGCTGTGACTACGTACATATTATAATAGTAATAATATATAAAATATTATATTATATTATGCTGTATTAAGTATAATACGCTTATAATATAATATATTATTTTCAATAACAGATATAAATGCGGCAGAGGGCACGTAACCCAATAATAGTAATAATATAAACGTCCGGGCGGCCATATCGATAAGAGTATAGAACGCGCGTATTATCCATATTCTGGGAAACACAAAAAAGCCGTAAACAACAAAATAGATAACTTTGAAACATATAATCCCAATTAACATTATTTCGTAGAGGACGCCCGAAATGACGTCAGGTATACGCAGCTATGTACCATTTTATATACTAAAAATGCTATAGGAGGGATATAATAGGAAAACCGACGAAATACGTCGATGGACAAGTGTCCATCAGACGAACACCAGCCAAGACGACGAGCACTATAGCAGGA